TACTTAGCAGAAGCTCCCCGAGTGGTCAGGCTAATAGTCTGCAGGCTGCAGTGGGGATGCTGGCAGGGGCCATTCTTCCAGCCCTGGTTCCCATCGTTGGTGAATGAGGTCATCTGCCACCCACACCCCTACCTTTTGGGGAGCAGGGCTAAACTTCTCCTAAGACCGGGATTGGACATTTGCTTTTTAGTGACTGTGTGTTTGTGTGTGTGTGTGTGTGTGTGTGTGTGTGTGCAGGAGTCAGGGAGCTTAACCTTCCCTTGTTGAAGGTTTGTGGGACTGAGGTTTCTAGGACTTTTACTCCCAGCCACAAATGTTCCCTGCTGTCTCTCCTGGAGCATTTTTTCTGTATCTTGTGTCTTGCAGCAATTTCTGTACATCTAAATGTCTCTTGAGGCGTAAAACCTCAAAATTAAATTGCCTGCTGCAACTTTGCCTCACGCCTGGAGTGACACTCCAGTGGAATAAGAGTGGCTGTAAAATTCCATAGCTTTCACACGCCACCTGCTAAACCTGCACCCTCTGACCATCAGCATGACAAATGTGCTGCCTTAAGCAGTGAAAGTAACATGGAGTAGGACTCTTGCCCTGCAGGGGCATCTTGCATCTCCCAACTGGCCCCCTGGAGGCAACTCCCCTACAGTCCTGAGAGTGGGATAGCAGACAGCTCACCTTTGGCCAGACCCTCAGTCCTTTTCCTGGCCCACCTGGGGCTGGACAGTGCCTGGTTCCCTGGGACTTCAGCAGACCCTGCATCTGCAGCCTGTCCAGAGTGCTTATGCCCATGCTTCACAGCTGGTCTTGGAAGGCAGTGTTGGTGTTCATAGCAATTCATAACTGCCTTCAGGACCCCTTAGCGCCCAGGGGCCCCGACCCAATGCTGGGCTCCTTTCCTTAACACCTGAAAGGCAAGAGGCATCTGAGTGTGGCCTGCTAAGGGTTCCTGCAAAGACCTTGTTTCCACGTGCCACTCAGGTAAAGCAGTCTCATCCCAGGAATAGCATCTCTAAGGGCCCCTATAGGCCAGGACACCTGCTTGCCTCAGAAGCAGTTTGGCACATTTGCATGTCAAATCTAGGGTATTTCTTCCCACTAACTTCCAGCTGTGTGGCCTAGGGCAGGTGACTTCACTTTTCTGGATCTCAGATTTCACTGTAAAGGCGGTGTTGTCTTTGTGTATACCAGTGACCTAGGCGGCTGAGGCAGGAGGATCACTTGAGTGCGCAAGTCTGAACAACATAGGGGGATCCTCTCTCAAATAAACAGACATTCGGCTGATCTGGCTGGCTAGGCGGATGTCCCCTTCCTTCCTTACCGCTCCTTGTGCGTCCCTCCCAAAGCTGCATGCTATGTCAAAGAGGACGACCTTCCCCGATAGAGGAGGCCCATTCTTCGGTAAGGGAATATGAGTAGCTGTGCTCCCCTGCTAGAACATCCAAACAAGCTCTCAAATAAACAAACAACAAACAAAATAATATCAATATCAGCAAAAATTAGTCTGACTACGTGGCAGACACAGTCCAAAAGCTTTACAGGAACTGCTTTGTTTAGTCTGCACCATAACTCCAGGGAGTAGACATGAAAGCCCATTTTACCAGACCCTGTGAGGCAAAGTGACTTTCCCAAGGTCATGTTGGTGAGCAGCGGAGCCACCTTGCTGGTCTGCCAGGAGAGTGGGAGCTAAGACTCAGGCATTGCTCTGCACAGGGTAAAGACAGGCCCTGAGCCTAGGCTGGACCTGGTGCTCCCTGTGTCCTGGCTTGGGTTATTAATGGGGGAACGTGAGGGGGTGTTCCTCACCTGTCACCCTTCAGCCTAGAAGGCAGGTTCTGCCTTGGCAAGTTTGCATGAGAAGGAACCTGTTTGGGAAGCCCAGCCCAAATGTGAGAGCAGTTTGGAGCTGACACTTGTTCGCCTCGGACTTCCCCAGGAAGTCAGGGTGTGCCCTTCTGTGCAGGGTAAGTCCCCAGCCTGAAGCACCCTAGCCTGCAGCCTGGTCTACCCAGAGAGTGTGGGGCCTGGAGGGCAGTGCTCTGTTCTTGGGTAGCTGAGGGCTGTGTGTGCCAGAGGAGTGTGAGACCTCTCCTCCCGCTCCTGGCTTTCAGATTGGAGGCAGAACAAGGCTGGAGCAGATTCACAGGCCTGGAGGGCCCCCCACCCCACAGGACCAGCTACTCAGTGTCTTCTTGGGGCCTCTCAGGAACAGCCCTTTCCTGGGAGAGAACTGGAGGGAGGGTCCTATCTATGCCAGGGGAGGGGCACCAGCCTCCTGCCTGGGAAGTTTTCCTTTCAGCCCTGTTTGTGCTTCAACAAAAGGCTCTCTGTGCCCTGTCTACCCACTGCCTCCCAAGTGTGGGAGCTGCCCAAATCTCTGCTGGCCCATGTGGGGTCTGGGACATGCTTGGGTGGTCTCCTTGAGGACAAAAGCGGCAGCATTTTGTTTGTTTGTTTGTTTTGGGTACTGAGACTTGAACCCAGGGCACTCAGCCACTGAGCCACATCTCCAACCCTTTTCATTTTTTTGTTTATTTTTTTGGTACTAGGGATTCATCCCAGGGGCACTTAACCATTGAGCCACATCCTCAGCCTGTTCTTAACTTTTTAATTTTTGAGACAGGGTCTTGCTAAATTGCTGAGACTGGCCTCATTTTCAATCCTTTTTTCTCAGGATTACTGGAATGCCCCACTTACCCCACTACATGTTGTTTTTGTTTTTGTTGTTTATTCTTTTTTCTGTAAGAGGCATCAAAAGGAAATCGAAACTGTCTGTGATGCCTGTAGTCTTAGCAGCTCTGTAGGCTGAGGCAGGAGGATCACTTAAGCCCAGGACTTTGGACCAATATGGGCATCATAGTAAGAAAGAAAAGGAAAGAGGGATCAACTGTGTCGACTGGGGTAGATGCTCAAGGACTGGTTTTGAGAGCAGATGGCCAGTTCTCCACCCTTGGTCCTTTCTTGGGATCCTGAGCAAAGAAGAGACCAAGAGGTCCTGGGGCTCTCTGGGTAGGCTGGCCTCTTCTCAGAGATACTGGTGCTGTGGCTGAGCTCTCACCTAGTTCTATCCCCACTGAATTCTGGGAGGGTTCTTCCGTGATGGCAGGTGGGGCTGTGGAACCACAGTGAGCCTCTCACTGTGCCGGGTGTCCAGTTGACATGCAGTATTTTCCCTCATCCTTATTCTCACAATCACTCATCTTATGCTGGAATGGTCCCATCTTAGAGCTGGGACTCTGTGGCCCTGTTGAGGAAGTGCTGGAGTTGGTATTTGACTGGCCACTTCAGTCCAGTTCTGAGGTCTGAGCTCTCCCCTGCCCTGTGTGTTGCTCTCATGTGGCGAGCATGCAGTGACCTGTGGAGTGGCCCCCAACTCCAGGGCAGGGCAGGGCAAGGCAGGGCAGGACACTCAGACTGACCTTTTTCTCACATCTCATAAACCACATGGAGAGAAGTTCTTCTGATTTCTTCCAAGTATTTTTTCTGCTCACAAACATGCCATATTTTAATAATAGAAGAATATGTAACATAGATAACCCTATGATCTTACCTACCCACAGATTTCACCACATATAATTTATGTATAGCTGTCCAGATTTTTCTGTATGAACAGTAATGAGATTTTTTTAAAATTTCTTTCATACATGACAATAGTGGAATGCATTACATTCATAATTATCCATTCACAGCACAATTTTTCATAACTGTGTATATAAAGTATGTTCACTGCAAATTATGCCATTATACATGAACTCTCTTATTGATTTTTTTTTTGCATTATAATTCTTTTTTTTTTTTACAGCTAAACCTTTTTTATATATATATGTTTACTTATTTTTATGTGGTGCTGAGGATCAAACTCAGGGTCTCACACGTGCGAGCGAGCGCTCTTCCTCTGGGCCACAACCCAGCCCCTGCATTACAATTCTTAATATACCTTTATACCACAATTTATCATATCTCTGTTTGTATATAAGGTATGTTGACACCAAATTCACATCTTCAAACAAGTATTTTGTATAATGATGACCATCTCCTTCCACCATCATAGTTATTCCCCTTCTCCCTCTCTTCCCCTCCCACCCCTATTCCCTATCTAGAGATAATCTCCTCCCCTGCTCTCCCTCCCTATCCCACTTTAGTCACCCCCCTTATATCAGAGAAAACATTCAGCATTTGTTTTTTTTTGGGGGGGGGATTAGCTAACTTCACTTCAGTAATGAGATTTTTACTGACAGAATTTTAAAACAAGAATGAAGTCCTATTCTTTTAATTGTTTTTATTATGGTGAAATGCACATAGCACTTCTCATCTTAGCCATGTTTCAGTGCACGGGGAGTGGCCATACATACATTCCTGTTGTTCTCACCACTTTTCTTTTTTTGGGTACCAGGAATTGAACTCAGGGGCACTTATCCACTGAGCCACATCCCCAGCCCTATTTTGTATTTTATTTAGAGACAGGGTCTCATTGAGTTGCTTAGTACCTTGCCATTGATGAGGCTGGCTGTGAACTTGAGATCCTCCTGCCTTAGCCTCAGGAGCTGCTGGGTTTATAGGTGTGCACCACCATCCTTTTCCACAACCTATAAGCTTGCAAAACAGGAACTCTGTCCCCACTATATGCTGTCTTCCCATTCCCTACCTGCCTTCTGCTTCCTGTGAATGACCTTCTCTGTGAATGACCTGCTCTTCTTCCTTCTCTGTGAATGACCCTCTATGTACCTCACTGTGGAATCCTGCAGTATTTGTCCTTTTGTGACTGGCTTTCATAGATCATACATTTTAGGTGTTCTCAGCTTTTTTTTTTTTTGGTTCTGGGGATTGAACTCACGAAACTGTACCACCAAGCTATACTCCAGCTCTTTTCATTTTATTTTCATACAGGATCTTACTTACTAAATTGCCTAGGCTGGTCTCAAACTCATGATCCTCCTGCCTCAGCTCCTGAGTAGCTGGGAAATTTTTATTTTTTATTTTTTTTAGTTGTAGTTGAACATAGTATCTTTATTTTATTTGTTTATTTTATGTGGTGCTGAGGATCGAACCCAGGGCTTTGCACATGCTAGGCAAGTGCTCTGCCGCTGAGCCACAACCCAGCCCAGCTCGGAATTTTTTTAGCTTAATATATCTTGGACATCATTTGTGTCACTGCATACAGAACCATGAGGAAGACGGCATTATTATTAAAGTTGCAAAAGTAGAGGCTTGGGCTAAATAATCTGGGGTCATGAATTATTTCATGCTGGAGCTGGAGCTGGATTTGAATCCACTTGTCCCCAACTCCAAAGCCCTTACTCTTTGCCCTTCCCCAGAGCCACTTGCCACTGAGGGAAGGATGGAGGCTTTCTGGGTTCCTCATTTGGCCCTCCAGGAACAAGGATGCCCCAGTCCTTCTGCGGGATCTGGTCCTGCTCTTCTCACATGCCCATGTGGCCTTACAGCAAGGATCTCGGACACTTCTGCGTCTTCCCTGGGGGCATGGCAGGACCAGGCAAAGGGGTGCCTCATGAGTAGAAGAGGAGCGAGGGTGGGCAACCTGGCAGAGGAACTGTGTCTACTGCCCTGGTGATCAGCATAGTGGCTGTGGCTGCTTGTGGGGCCTTCTCACCTGCAAGGGTTGGGAGAGGACCAGCCGTAAGGGGCTAGAAATAGATGATTGTTTGGGTAAGCATTGTGTGATGTCATAGCTCAAGCACATAGAAAAGTGTAAAGATGCTGGGCATAGGTGGCACATAGCCTGCTACTGAAGCAGGAGGATCACAAGTTCAAGGCCAGCCTGGGCAACTTAAAAATCTGGTCCCAAGTTTTTATAAAAGGCCAAGGGATGTAGTTCAATGTTAGAGTGCTCCTGGGTTCCATCCCCAACCCCCCACAAACCCCCACAAAGCTTCTATTATATATCGTTTTCTGACTTGTGTTTTGGTTCAGCATTGTTTTTGAGGTTTGTCCCGGTTAATACATGCAGCTCTAGTTCATAATTTTAATTGATTCAAAACATTTCATTGTATGAATAGAGCAATTTAGCCTTTCTCCTGTCAATGAGTTTAGATTGCTGCTGGTGTTTTGCTTTTATAAACAACTCCATTGAGCATCCTTGTGGGTAGTTCTCAGTGTGTGTGTGTGTGTGTGTGTGTGTGTGTGTGTAAGGCAGACTCTCTAGGATGCTTCGCTCCAGCAGACTGCTGGGCTATGGGTTTTATGGACTCCTGGGCTATAGGCTTTATGCGTCCTGACTCTTCAGCTAGGAGTTCAGTGTTTGTGTCAGACTGAGGGAGTATAATGGTCTCGTCTGGGTATCTGATTGTTTCAGTTTATGTTCCTTGACCACTAATGAGGTGAAGAATCGTTCTGTGCACTGATTTCCATTTGTACTTTTCCCTATGAATCGACTATCCATGTGTCTTGCTGTTTCCTCCCATTGAATAGTCTGCTTTGTCTGTTCCTAGGCGTTAACTGGTATTAATTCTTTGTATGCACACATTGGAAATACCTCCTCCCTTCTTTCCATCTGTTTATTGTTATGTTCTTTGATGTGCATGTTTTAGTTTGATATATTTGTTTATTTGTGGTGTTGGGGTTATGTAATCCAGTCTCACCGAATGAGGAATTGCACATTTGTGCTAAGAAATTCTTTCCTGTCTTTACTACACTAAGTAAGATAGTCCTTTAGATTTTTCATTTTCTTTAGTTTTTTTTTTTTTTTTGTTGTTGTTGTTGTTTGTTTGTTTGTTTGTTTTCCCCTTCAGTACTGGGATGGAACCCCAGGCCTCGCACAAAGTCGGCAAGTGCTCTGCCACTGAACTGCATCCCTGGCACCTCAGCATTCTCAGGTTTTGCTTTAGGTCTTTAATTCATTGAGATTTATTTTGGGGTAGGAAGGAGCTGGGACTGTGCTTTCTCATGTTCCCCCCTGAGAGCTGGCACTGCTTGTTATGCCCCTTCTTTCCCCTGATCTGCACAGCCAACATGACACACATCTGTTTCCAGAAATGTGATGGATGGTTTCAAAGCTCTCTTCTGTTCTTTGGGTTCACACATCTGTCCCCGCATCAGCACCACATTGTTTGAATTCTGATAGGTTTTTGGTAAGTTTCAGTATCTGGTGTTTCTTCCCCTCTTACTTTTCCAAATTATCTTAGCTATTCTTGATCCCTTGAAATCATGATTTTTTTTTTTTTAACTTTTTTCAGGCTGGGGTGTGGCTTTGTGGTGGAGCACTTGCCTGGCATGCATGAGACCTTGGGTTCCATCCCCAGCACCACAAAAAAACAACAAGTAAGAAAAAAAACTTTTTTCTTAATTGCCTGAATACCATATGCCTGTAGTTATAATAATAATTAAAAAAAAGAGGTAAATTTGGGATGTGAGAAGCATTGTAAAGAGCATCTCAGCTGGGTGTGGTGGTGCATGCCTGTAATCCTAAAGGTTGTTGGGGGATGCTTGTTGAGGCAGGAGGATCACAAGTTCAAAGCCAGCCTCAGCAACTTAGCAAGGCTCTAAGCAACTTAGTGAGACCCTGTTTCAAAACCAAATATAAAAAGGGCTGGGGAGTGCTGGGGTTGTGGCTCAGTGGTAGAGCACTTGCCTAGCATGTGTAAGGCACTGGGTTTGATCATCAGCACCACATAAAAAATAAAATAAATAAAATAACGTTATTATGTCCATGTACAACTAAAAAAAAGAAATAGGACTGGGAATGTGGCTCAACAGTTGAGTGCTCCTGAATTCAATCCCTGGTACCCCCGCCCCACCAAAAAAAAAAGAGCATCTCACCTCACTCCAGGAGAGCTTGGGTGGAGTGTGTGCGTTGTGTGGTAGAGGATCCCCGTGCACGGTTTTGTTGCCTGCTTGATGTAGTTAGGAGAGTGGACCTCTCCTAGGGTCATCCAGTGTCTTTAGCTGTGTGTGCTTGTTGCTGTGTGGCATTCCATCAGCTGGTAAATATTTGACAAATCACCAACCACCACATCTGGCTTTCCCAAGTTTCCTGTTCACTTTGATCAAAGTCCCTGTAACTGAACTTTTGTGCTGGAGTCTTTCCCAGGCACTGGCTGTCCTCCTTCCCACCCCCTCTCCTCCCAGGGCTCTGTGCACTCTAGCAACCCCTGCTCCACCTTCTGCACTCTCTGCTGCACACCAGGGAGGTGGCATGCCCCTGAAAAGGTCCCTGTCCCCCAGACTTCCCAGCCTCCCCTCCTGCTTTTGGTGGTATCTTGCCCACAGTCCCCTGGTTGTGTCTGGGAGTCTCCCATTTGTTGTTAATCCCTGACCCTGGGGCAGTGACATCCAACACCAATCTATTCTGGAAATAGGAAAAACAGCTAGATTGCAGCCAGTAGCACAGCAAGGCACACTTCACTTCCTTATTGTCTTTTCTCACCAGCCCCAATTTTAAACCCTTTAATCTTTGTCCTGTATTTAGGATTCAGGGAATTCTCCAAATTCCCCTATCTTTGGAGCAGAGACCTGGCCTGACCTGTCTTCATATTGCCTTCTAAAACCTCCAGCTCAAAGTTACAAAGAACATCAGATCTCTACGCCTGAGCCCTGTTTTTTTTTTCCATGTTCTACAGTTATAAGGTTATATTTATTTAACATTACATACTTTTTTTTTTCAGTGCTAGAATTTGAACACAGTGCCTAGCACATCTAAGCAAGTGCTCTACCACTGAGTTATACCCTCGAGCCCCCTATGTTATTATTTTTGATACTGGGGATTGAACCCAGAGGTGCTTAACTACTGAGCTACATCCCCAGTCCTTTTATATATTTTTTATTTAGAGAAGGATCTCACTGAGTTGCTTAGGGCTTCGCTAAGTTGCTGAGGCTGGCTTTGAACTCATAATCCTCGTTCCTTGTTCTCCTGAGCCGCTGGATGGATTACAGGCACGAACCAGTGTGCCTGGCCCCCTGTTTTATTTTTTAATCATGTAGGTAATGTATGCTGGTTAAAAATACAAGGTTTCATTTTAGGCTTCCGTCTAGCTCACTTGAAGAGGAACCTTCCCCATTGTGTAGGAATGTTGGCCAAGGGTCTAGGCATCATGAGCTTATGTCCCTTAGTATTCTGGCTCTCACATTTTCCCACATTGCAGTACAAAATGAGCTTCTGCATTCCATCAAAAAGGCCCTGTACCGGGCTGGGGATGTGGCTCAATCGGTAGCGCGCTCGCCTGGCATGCGTGCGGCCCGGGTTCGATCCTCAGCACCACATACAAACAAAGATGTTGTGTCCGCCGAGAACTAAAAAATAAATATTAAAAAAAAATTTCTCTCTCTCTCTCTCTCTCTCTCTCTCTCTCTCTCTCTCTCTCTCTCTCTCTCTCTCTCCCTCCCTCTCTCACTCTATCTTTAAAAAAAAAAAAAAAAGGCCCTGTACCATTCTGGTGGCTTCTTGCCCACCTACTGTGTGCCAGGCCCCACCTGCCTGGCTCTTCCCCAGGTGTCTGGGAGCCCTCCCTAGTGGCTTTCCTTCCTAGATGTCCTTCTTGAGCTCTCCACACACTTCTCATTGACACCCTACGGGTGTCATTCCCCCATCTGTCTGCTCCCCACCTCCTACTCACTACCCAGCCACTGACCCAGACACTAACGTGGGTATGATGGGGAATTTATGGTATGTGTATTTCACCACAGTATAAAACCAGTTGAGAAAAACAATGGATGCCCTTGGCTTATGAGGATTCTGGGCTGGGCCCCGAGTCTCAGTCTCTGAATGGGGAGCCGCTTTAACTGTAGGTGTTGAGTCATCTTACACACCTGGCTCCTGGGTGTGTCTTTCACTGCCCCCCACCCCCCATGTTGTGACTCCATGCCTTCCCGTGGCAGGAAGAAGGAGGGGCCCAGAGCCTGGCTGACTCCCAGGCCACACCTACCTGAAACTGCTGCCCTCCTCCCCACACCCAGACCCACGCCCTTCCTGGGCTCCCCTCCCTGCCGCCCTTCAGTTGGTCGCTCTCTGGGAGCACTTCTCAATTGTTGAGTTACCCAGTGTCTGCTGCAGACTCCTGCGCTCAGTGATCATCTGGCCTGGCCTGGGGATTGAGAAGGTGGAGTCCTGTGAGTCTGTTATACACAGAAAGGACCTGAAGCCACAGGCCAGTGAGGGGCCTCCCAGCAGAGCCCTGGCCCCACCTTGGTGCTGGCTTCACATACAGCAGGAACCACTCCACCTGGCTGCCTCCATGGGGGGTGCCTCTTTTTTCCTCGACACCCCTAGGAACTGAATCCCTAGATTTGGTGTCGGCACCTTCTTTCTAGGCCTCCTCCAAAATGCCTTCAGGGAGGGGCAACGACTTGTCCAGAGCTGCACAGCAGAGGTGAGGAGGCAGGACAAGTCCAGCCAGGGAGTGACCCCTCTAGGCGTCACCGCAGCAGGGCATGCCTAGGCACTGCTGGGCCAGACCCACACTGGCCTCCATCCTGGGGGTTCTTGGCTCTGATCGCCCCAGGTCCTGCCTCTGCATCTCTGTATCTTCCAGCCTATTCCACCTCCAGCCTGGTCCTTCTTGGCTCTATGGCTGCCCCGGGCCCTGCCTCTCAGCCTGTGCACCCTCTGTCCTCACCACACATGTTCACTCTGCCAGAGGATGCTAAGGTGGGGACCATACCCTGAGCACTGGTTGTCCCCACAGGACCTAGCCAAGGCCTAAGTAGAGTCTAGTGTGCCTTGAGATGGGGGAGGGTGTCAGAAAGATTGGAATGGCTGGGCTGCTTCCTGCCCTACCCCTTGAGCCCCAGCCTCCCTGCCTGCACTAAAGCTGTGCACACTTCCATCTCACCAGGGCAGAGGGGGCTGGATGTTCTGCATTAGTTGACATACCCACTCCCCCTCAGAAAGTGAGGGGAGTATTGTTGTATCAAAGCCACATCCTGCCTGGTCAGAAGCTGCCCCCGGCCATAAATGCCGACTCCTGGTTGGTCACTGCCAGCCTCCTTCCTGCTCTTAGGGCAGGCCCTGGGGCCCTCCTCTTCATCACTCCTCCCTTCCAGTCCCCAGTCTTCAGCCTGCCCTGGATGAGGCCTCAGGGAGCCAGGAAGGAGGGCTGTACTGGCTGTCTCAGCTGGAGGCCAGCTGTGTGACTCAGCAGGCCCTTGTCCGCCCAGAGTCCCCTCTTTCCTAGGAGTGTGGGTGGTGTGTGGAGCCAGCTGGTCATTAGAGGGCTGGGGCCTTCCTGTGGGGTGGGTGTGCTCCCTGGCCCACAAATCCAAGCTTCACCAGGAGACCCAGGGCGGTGGAAGTGTCTACTGGCCCCAAGGTGACCTGAGCTCTGGGAGTTCCAGAGTGGGGGAAGCTGGACACCTGGGCCTGGTTTCTATGAGCATTGCCTGGGTCAGGCACCACTTGGGTGTTTGAGCCCTAGGCAAGAGGGGGCAAGTCCCCACAATGCGGACCTGAGTTCACCTGGAAAGGCAGACCTGCCACGCCATAGGGTGACTAGCAGAGTGACGTTGGACAGGTGACTGTTTCCCTGAGCCTTTGTTCCCACATCCAAATAATGGGGCAAAAGAGGCCCTGCTTTGGGACATCAGAGGGAGCCCGCAGAGCCTGCATGGGAGTGGCTTGCCCAGTGCCCTCAGCATTGCTACGACCATTGCCACCTCTGTTAAGTGCCCAGATGCTACCTCCGTCACTCAGGGTCCTGGGCTTCTTGCCTTCTGCCGCCTCCCTGTCCCTGCACACCCTAGAGACTGGGCTGCATGGGGACATGGTTCATTGGTTAAGCAACTTTGGGTTCAATCCCTGGTACCCAAAAAAAAAAAAGTGAGTTCTTGATAAGCCCCCTCCGCATTTTGCTTTCTTCAGGCCACTTCTGCTTCCCAGCAGCTGGTTTCGAGTTCCTGGGAATTTTAAACAAGCCCCCCTGATTATTAAATGAATGGCCTCCGAACAGGGATTCTCAGAACTCCAAATAGATTGTAGGGGGACCAGGAGGCAGGCAGTGATCTGTGGAGATGGCCCTAACCTTGTAGCCTACCATCTTCCTGTGAAATGGAGAGACTGCCCCCCCATGGTAGTTTTCCAGCTAACAAGTGACCACATGGCTTCTGTAGAAGGCCTGACGGAGGCCACCTCTGGAGGGGCTGGGCTGTGACTCCCAGGTAGATGTGAGGTAGAAATTTGTACAGTGGTGATACTTTTACCCTGACCCTCCTGGGTCCCTTTCAGGTTGAACCATGATTCCAGTGACAGAGCTGCGCTACTTTGCGGACACACAACCAGCATATCGGATCCTAAAGCCCTGGTGGGACGTGTTCACTGACTACATCTCTATTGTCATGCTGATGATTGCTGTCTTTGGTGGGACGCTGCAAGTCACCCAGGACAAGATGATCTGCCTGCCTTGTAAGTGGGTCACCAAGGATTCCTGCAATGATTCATTCCGGGGCTGGACAGCCCCCAGCCCAGAGCCCACCTACCCCAACTCTACAATCTTGCCAACCCCTGACACGGGCCCCACGGGCATCAAGTATGACCTGGACCGCCACCAGTACAACTACGTGGACGCCGTCTGCTACGAGAACCGCCTGCACTGGTTCGCCAAGTACTTCCCCTACCTCGTGCTCCTGCACACCCTCATCTTCCTGGCCTGCAGCAACTTCTGGTTTAAGTTCCCACGCACAAGCTCCAAGCTGGAGCACTTTGTGTCTATCTTGCTCAAGTGCTTTGATTCGCCTTGGACTACAAGGGCCCTTTCAGAGACAGTGGTGGAAGAGAGTGACCCCAAGCCTGCCTTCAGCAAGATGAATGGTTCCATGGACAAGAAGTCGTCAACAGTCAGTGAGGACGTGGAGGCCACTGTGCCCATGCTGCAGCGGACCAAGTCACGGATAGAGCAGGGCATTGTGGACCGCTCGGAGACGGGCGTGCTGGACAAGAAGGAGGGGGAGCAGGCCAAGGCGCTGTTTGAGAAGGTGAAGAAGTTTCGGACCCACGTGGAGGAGGGGGACATCGTTTACCGCCTCTACATGCGGCAGACCATCATCAAGGTGATCAA